GATGTTAGGAAAATACTTTTAAATTAAATCAGATTCTAGAGCTTGTCATATGGATTTCTGTTCATGCACCTGAAGTGTTATGTTTACCTCAAAGAACTTCTGTATTACATAGTTTCCAAACACATCAGTCATCAACTGATAGGCTGCTTGCAGAATCTCATTAAATACCATCTGGCGCTCAGCTGGAGTAGCTCTCTCTAGCTTTTGCTGTATAAACCTAAGTGTAAGAGAGTCTACATTATACATCATATAAACAAAATCTCTCAAAAACAGCTTCAGTGACACACCTCAATATTTTAAAATCAATATTCAACATTTGTAAAAACTCATTAAAAAGAAAGCAGTGAGTTTTACATATAAAAGGAAGCATTTTAGAAGATACCCACAACCTTTCATTTGAAAAGCACTAAAGATATAAAGAACACAATGAATTATAGCTGAAAAAGCAATTTTATATTCCAGATGCCAAATTCTAATTTGTTTTCTTAATCAATGCCTTTCTTAAATACTACAGTTTATAAGTTTAATTATGAGACTATTTCAATGCTAAAAACTTCTACTGGGAACTAACAGACATATACTACTTTTATAACTGATTCTTTCCCAAAAAGCAAAAGAATCAGTGTATGAACACCTGCCCAATTAACAGTATGTGTCATATTAAGATTGCAACCAACTCATTTTAGTGTTTTATGATAATACAACACTACACAAGCAGCAAAGCTAATCATTAACTTTACCATGACAATTACCTAGAACCATGCTGGTCTTGGGAAAATTCAACAATATGTCCAACAAGGTCTCTTAGCTGAAGGTTAGGGAAACGATTATTTCTGAAATCTTCGAGTAATCGGCTGCGTCCAGAGGGCATAATATCAGACCTACTGTAACGGAGACGTGAAGGAGGGAAGAGCTGACTGGTGGAGCTAAAGAGACTGGAGGTACTTGCTGCACTGCGATACTTTGCTTCTGCTCCAGGTGCTGCAGAAATATAGCGACCACTACCATTTGTCAGTCCTCCTACAAGGAAGCAGTTCTGTCAGTAAAAGCCACTGAGAAAATAAACAACAATAAAATAAAAGTGCGCTAGAACATACTCTGGAGGCAAGGAAAACAAAACAGTGTTGTCTTGTTATCTATATTTACCTCACTTAGTTGGAGGAGGTAGATAGCTTTATCTTCAAAGAAATAAAACCACTCTCCTCCTCATTATTATTTTATGAGAACCAGGAGAAGAAAACTTATTGGAGGAATATAACGGAATGGGCGAAGTGACGACCCATTCAGACCTACAGAAACTTTAGAATTTGGTATTCATTTAGTGGGCAGATTTCCACTTCACAAGCACAACTGACTTGCATTCTTCTTAGCGGTCTTGAAATTGGCCAATTGTTTCAAAACGGACCATGAAGTCTGAACTACCCTTCAGTCCCTACTGAGGTACCTTCCTGTTGATTTAAAGCGCAACAGGGCATTTTTGGGGAGGCCTGTGTTGTGCCTCTGGTCATGCTGTACCTGTTCTGCAGGAAATTAGATGACTTCAGCATCCCAGGCTTTCACACTGGTACCTCTTGTAAGCACTACGTACGTCAAATTTTAAAATGATAAAGAATTCACTACTTATTTCTGAAGCAACCAAAGATATTTTCATCTGAAGTTCCTTTTAGAAAGGTACCGTCCTTTCCTTGCTGCAAATACACCAACTCTCACAGTGTTTTGTCCCTCCTTACTTTCTGTGAGCAGTTACCTTGCTTTGTTCAGCTCCTGCTCCTTTCACTAGCGACCCCACCTAGTAACTATCCTCTCAAAGCTCCAGGAATTTCGCCTCAGGTTCTACCCCCTCAATCAGTTTGTGTCACTCTGAACTTGCCCACAGGGGCTCTCTCCTCCCTGCTTTACAACAGGCAGCAATGACCATAAACAAGCAAATAACGCACCTTTCTAACCTAGTGATTTTTAAAAGGAATACTGCTATTATAACCACAAGCATAAATATTCGAAGGCACATTCCCACCTGAAAAACTCAAGTCTGAATATTAAACTTCTGCCACAAATATTAAACAAAAAATTTTGCAGGGTATAAATTAGAAATGGAAACATTTTCAGTTTCCCATCAAATTATCCGGAAAGTCAAATGCTAGCTGGAAGCCCTTTCAATGAATAAAAGAAATATCTAAATTTGAATTTTAAAGACAAATTGCAGTACGTGCTGTTTGAATGGTGCTCTGTTACAAAATGAATTAAAAAAAGAAGTGACAGTGCCCCAGCCATGCCTTCTTTTGCTCCAAGTATTTACAAGGCCAGGCAAAAGTCTTACAGAGGGCTGGTAATATATTAATGATCAAGTATCTTTTCAAAAGTCAATCTGAAAGATCAGAATTTGAGATGTTAGTATTCTGCAAGACATATCACAAGCATCATATTTATTGCATGGTATAGGATTATGCCTTAAAATAGAAATAATTAGTATTTTATAATTAGTTGTGCAAAATTCAGAGGTAAGAATCAGCAAAGAATCAGTAAATACTTTAAGTCCCATGATACCTTACAAAAAACTGTTTTCTTTTTAATTATAGCTCTCAATTCTTCATAACCAGAAAAATCAGGTTTCTTCAGCTATTGTGTTTAATTTCCATCACTATTTCCAGAAAAAGGCTGACAGTGACATAACAAAAAACTTAAAAATGAATAAATAAATCCAACATTCTGCAGGTGAAGCAGAATGCAGATACTTTGATTCTGCAGTGACTTTTCTTCTGGAAGCAATCTTCTGAACAATAGAAAAACTATGACTCTGAAAACATGGTAATTCTGATCTAAATTATTTAAACATATGAATGAAATCTTATCTTCCCTGAGGATGACTTGTAGTAACATTTAACGCCAGAAGAGGGAAGCAAAGCCCATTTAAAGTAAAGCATTAACAGGCTGCCTTCACACTAAAACCTTTGTGTATTACTTTCCTATCACATGCTCCATTCTGTGCCCAAAACTAACAGGGTAACTGTCACTAACCACATAGGTCTAATTAGTATGAATAATCATGAAATTGCACATGTGAATCAGGAATTGTTTAAGGATAGTGTTTTAAAAGCACCTTCTGTGTCATAATGAGATAAAAGTAACAATCACTGGATAAAGAAATTTGCTGACCTTTTGCAGATAGGCGAAGTGTATTTAATAGAACTGCATGTACAGACTTCACACAAGAGTCTCAAGCCTTTCTTCAATTGCATTTGGGAACTATCCCTTTTTAAAGCTTGCAAGAAAGTTATGCTGCAACTGGGAGACTCCTGTTTAGCCTGTGAAACTATTTAAATTGATCACGCTGTAAGAATGGGGCTGTCCATTGCGCCTAGAACTGCTTTTACCACTTCAAAACCACGCATGAAAGCTTAAGCTTCTGTAAGGCTGGATCATAAAAGACAACAGTGACTTGATGGGTCCTTAGCTTTTTTACTGAGGCAAACTTTTTTACAGCAGCAGTAAGATAATTCAGTGATAATTTAGCAGATTAAATATAATAAAGCCCCCAAGAAAAACACATTGTCATAGGTACTTATTACATACAGATATACTCCGGTGTATCACAACAGACTATCTTCTTAAATATTATATTCCCCTGAAATCCTCAGTCCGAACACATTACAGCATTATCATGGACATGAAGGACATCCTCCTCCCTTTTGAAAACTTTTACTGCTTCTACAACTGCAGCTTTTAAAATCCTCCTGGGATTTTACAGCCGACCACCTGAGCTGTGCTCCTCGAGATCTCAGAAAGTTTTTACAGATTCTGATTCCAAACAAGAGAGGTAACACACTGGACCTTATAAATGCTTAGGGCAAACAATTCATAGCCTCTTGCTTTATTCAGGAAAGTACTTTATTCAGTAAAGCGCCTAGTCTAAACTGAGTTTTAGAAAAGGGTCAAGGTTTAAAAGAGTGCTATCAGGCATCAGTAAAATCACACGATTACAAACCACTGCAGAGCAGAGAGCAGCTTCTCTAGGGACTGAAGAGCAGAATGATCCGAGTTAGCACTTCTGATCTCACAGAAGGGAATCTCCGATGCACTGGATAGCACTAAACTGCTTTGCAGTTTAACTCAACCTGACGCCCTGTGGCTCGTCCGTGGGGAAGAGCGAGCGCAGAGGTGCAAAGGGGATACAGGCCGTCTACGGAGTCTTAGAGCACATGGGATTATCAACTCCTCAACTTGGATAAAGGATGTTCTTAACATAAAGGAGAACATTGCAAAAATTAAAACCATATCAAGCCAAATTAATTTTTATAGCATTAGTCTGTTAGTACTTATTACTGAAGTATTTGTTCAGGACTTTCAGACGTAAAATAAATTTACTACAAAACAACTCTTGTTTAAGTCCAGTTAGCAACCCTATTTTCTAGCAAAATATATAAAGGCAGTGTTAAACCATCAATTTCTACAAAAATGTTTGCACATTGGTAGAAAAACAGCTCCATCTTATCCTCAGCTAGAATGAGCATTTCATCTTCACAAGGAAAAAAGGGCTGTACAGAGGCATACGTGTGTGTGTGTGTGTATATACATCATATATGCATGCACACACACGTATATAGACACGTATGTATAAAATGACTTAACTCTAGTGCTTGTTATGCCTGGTTTACAGAAGTCCTACAGAGTAGGTACACAGCAGAGGCAACACAAGGTTCCCCGCACTGCCTTGCCAAGGGACCTTGACACTCCCACTCAGAATGACCAATTCTCAAGATAAAACAGCTTCAGCTTGAATTAACGAGCTTTGCTTGGAAAGCACAGACAGAAAATAATTACCTCCCAAAAGCCCAGATTTTAAAATACTATTGTAGAACAAACACTTAGAATGCTGCAATGTCCCATTCAACAAAATGAAGGCACTACCAATCTCAAAATAATTTTTATAGCACAGAATATTATTATTATTATTATTTTTATCCCTGGGAATGAAAGGGTAGTTCAAATTCATGACCTGGCTGCTCTAACTGCTTCAGTAAAGGAGCAGTTTCAAACTGACAAATCCCTTCAGGAAGGGGAAAACTGACACCAGGACATAATTAGTGCATTCCTACTTCAGGATGTTGCAGAAAACTTTGTGAAAATATATTAAAAACAGTAAAATATCATGACTTTCTTGTAGAAGGGAAATTAGTCTTTTAAGATACAATTTGCAGCAGTGTCTGACAAAGGGGTTATAAAACCATGCACCCTTCCCTAGTGCTGGGGCTACACTTGGGGGGCTGGAACAGGAGCAGCCAAGTTTGATGCCCATTTTAAAACGGGAGCTAAACGTAGCTGAACCTGTTGATACAAGCAGAAATAAGAATAACAGCTTTGAAGGCGGAGGGAAAGCTGCATTTGACAGGCATTATCCGAACACCAACGGAGACTGCACGCAGACATGAACTTTGAAGTGCTGTTCTACTCTGAAAAGTGAAGAATCAAACCGTCCTTAAATTTTACTCCATGTTTGTATTCACTTGTATATTATATGGTAAGAAAGTCTGGCCTTTTCTATTTCTTTTATCCGAAAAAACTCAAAAAACTCCTAGCAGTGGTTTATGAAAGCATCAGAATAAATTTATTAGAACATATGATTAATCACAGAAACACGTTCTTCAAAATCTGAGTGCACAATTACACATCACTGTACAAAGATATAAAAGGCCAGAGTGTGAGAGATGTCAAAAAAATGCCAGACTTTTGTGAAGGCCAAAATAAGAGGAGCTTCGATTTGGAGGAGTAGCCATAAATTTAGCAGTAACTGGATCTTGCTGTGGAAGATCGAAGGCAGTCGGCACTGAAGCCAACAGTCTTGTGTCATTTTTCAGAGTACAACTGTCCATTCTGCCCTTTCAGAAGAAGGTTGTAAACTATTATGCTTAGTTCTGCCAAATGGCCTAGAATAGATTAAAATTAGTATTTAACAATTTCTGCTGATGGGGTAGTCCTTTATACTGATCACGGCTTACTTTCTCAAGATTGGAAAGCCTTTTATTTAGCATTTACCCAAATGTAATGCAATCCATATTTTTTTTTTTAAATAAGGAGATAATGCCTTCCAAAAATATTGTTTAGATATAGTTTTCAATAATACGAAAACTATTATGAAAGTATTTTAAAAAGAAAGAAAGAAAAAAAAATTTCCATGATAACCCCATTGTCAGATGTTTAGAACTTTCTCAAAAACCTCCATTTGGGCTGAAACTTTCCATGCTTGGTCTCAGCCCAAAGGTGCACTTTGTAGACCTGAAAAAGGAAAAAAGGTAAGTAAAAAAAAATAAAGCGTGCTGAAACATCCCCTTGCCCAGTTTTACTTTGGGTGTTCAGCACATAACCATGACAGGGATACTGAACTGTAAAGATAATATATTTATATTACTTAACATTGCTATATACATCACTCATTTTTCATTAAAAAAGCATATTTAGTTGGGATTTTTTTTTCTGTTTTATGCGTAGTAAACAGAAATATGGGGGATTAGGTTGCCTATTACATGCACAGACTGTGCTCTGAAAAAGTTACTGAAGCAACAGGCAACTCAATCTCAATTACATCTGGTTTCATTGCGTAACTTTCACATCCAAATTTAAGAACCATATTTTTTTTTTCAGTGAAAAAGAAAAGTTTATCAAGTAACCTCAGGTTAGAGGCATTCTCTAAAAATGGTAGGCTGTGATGTGATTTCTTCAGCTTTTTTTTGTTTTAAAAAGATTGAGCTACCATATCATCCAACAGGTTCAAAAATGTGTAAAATATTGCTACCAATATGCATTAAAAACACATCTGATAAGAGAGCCACCACTGACAAAGCCATTGCTACTACTTTCATAAATGCATTTTGTTTTCTCCCACCACCCTGGTGGTTAATTCTCATAATCCTGGTAAAGCATCTGGGCCATAAGACCGTGGGTTTACTGATTCAAAAATCCTTCTCCAATATACAATACTGAGAGCTTTGCTCACTTTTCTACGTCTATCACAGCGAAGGGCAGTAGCAAAAGTCACTCTGCTGTTAAATAATATTTCATCTTACATTACCTTAATAAGAGTGGTAATACGCTGAAGTACAAACAAAAATAATGTACCTTTGCTTGTCATGTAACAAAGTAACACAGCACAAGGGAGCAGCAAGTCTTACTGGGCTCTCTATGGGGCCGCCCTCAGCCCGATACTGCCACGTGCCGCGTGCCCTCCACTGTCAAACAAGGAGAACCGGAACTGGCCCACTTGCTCACAAAACTGTTCAACAGCAAAGGTAATGTGACATCTCTTATGCAACACATATTTTACACATAGAAATACATACACTCATACAAACAAAAAGTGATTTTTTTTTCTTTTTTTTCTTTTCTTTTTTTTTTTTTTTTTTTTACCTAAATGCAAACTGGATGAGGATCCATGTGATGAAAGTGATGGCGGTGGCGTAAGTGAATGTCCTGGAGTTTGGCTTGGCAGAGGCATGCCTATTGGACTTGGAGAGGAGGAAAATCCCAGACTATTGTAAAATGGCTGCCCTATGGGTGCTAGGCTGCTACTAGATCTTTTGTACAAGTCAGAGCTAGTAGATAGAGACTCTCTCCTTGTGGCACTACTACTTGCAGGACTGCCAACTGAAGAAGAAATAAAAAGACCCTAATTACACACAGTGTCAACTGAATAAAACCTATCCCCAACCACTGCTGGGCAATAACAGATGCGATCACAATAACTACAGCAATCGTTATGACAAAGACAATTACTGTGGTAACCACACATGCTTTTAAGTAAATCTAGGTGGGTATAAACATATCACTAATAAGCGATTTAATCAATGTCCGTGTCTTTCAACAATTCACTCTAGACTCTCACTGAAATACGGTTGTACTCGGTTGTAACAGCCTGACTTCAGGCTTTGGGACAAGCAGGAATTTTATGAAATTACAGATTACACTGTAACTTTATATAATAAATTGTTCAAAACATATTCCCACTAAACTCTTCAAGAAAAGAGTTTTTCAACAGAAATTATTAGTCAGGCAGGGATACGTGATTTTAGATAAAAGGCTAGAGACAACATATATATATATACACATGGTTTAAGAGTTCAGAAAATTATCTATGTTCAGCTGTTTCTGAACTTCTTCCTGTTTGTATATCCCTCACCTGTAGAAAAAAACGACTGCTTAAAATTCTCTGATAATTATGGTTTTCAAAGAAGTGTTTGGAAAGATGTTATAAAGTGAGAGTAGCATAAGAAGAGGATGAAGAGCAGAGTAGAACAAGGAAAATTAAGGTGAAAAACTAGGAACGCAACTTTACTACTAGAAGTATTTCTGAAAAAACAAATTAAAGACTAAAAGCTTAAACTAACAGAGTATTAGTGAAGGACTGGTTATCCTGCACAGCATCATTCAGCAGGGCGATGAACAGTCTAGGATAAATCAGGAGAACAACAAAGTTTTAGAAATGTTACATTCTAGTATCTGTTGCATACTAGTGAAATATTAATCTAGACTGCCCATTTTAACACTGGAACATTTTGTTATACTCAAACACAAGAGAGATTATGGGTATTTTGATAATATAAAGCTTCTTTTTAAGAAGAATTTGGCAATTTGATTTCTGCTTCAACTTAAAAAGGAAAAGGTAAAAGTCATACTTCCATAACCCTTCACAGGTGCCTTTACAGCAGACGGCACAGCCTGATATAAAGGTTGCCTCTTACTTCCCATTTTAAGAACCTAGTTTGTTTTCTCATAACATCAGCAACTTGACTAACATCTCTCATGGCAGACACCTGCTCAGGACATGTTTTTGGAAAAACAAGTTCAGCCAAAACAGTACAGCCATTTCACAGACCCGGCAAGGAAAGGGGCCTTACCCTTACCAAAATAAGCAAGAAACATATTATTTGAGAGATTAATGCTGTCATGTACTCGGAACACTGTAGTAGCAACAGGGGACACCTTTATTTCAGGTCCTCTCTTGGTGTCTATTTGTTTGAGCTAGAAATCTTAGCAAAATAACCATATATGAAAATTCAGCAGATATCTGCTATAGATTGACAGCTGGAAACTCTGTCACTTCTGACCAAACACGGCATGTCTGAGATGGCTGAAAAAGCTTTTCCTGCAACTGCACTTCTAGGCTTACATGTGTTATTCCAAAAGTGGACTGTAAAACTGCTGCCCGAGATCCTATCTTGTGATCTGGGTATCGTGATGTACCAGGCAGCGTGGCAAGGAAGCTATTCTGCTGTGAATGCAGAGGGCACGAAAGCCAAACACAAGAAATAGACCAAAAAAGGAAACCAGAACCAAGTGGAGAGTAAAGTCAGACAAAGGAGCCAACGAGGAGACTGCAAGAGAACTAGCAAGAAATTTCAAAACCAGTGGGACTGAGGATGAAATAGAGCGAGCTGATGAAAAGCTGGAGAGGGTGTATGCAGCAGTGGGGCAAAGACACCAGGACAGCAAGCTGATGATGGTAGTATCACACAGAATAAACCAGAAATGGAAACAAACTGGGGGCAGGTGAGGATCGGCGGGAAGGAGATGGATGTTGCCTGGACCCGGGAAGGAAGATGTACTAGAGGAGAAGCCAGCAGGGAAGATACTGAACTAACTAGGCAAAGAGATTAAGAAGTAAGAGCAGCAAATTAAGGCAATAGTTAAAGAAAGTCTCACCATTTAGACTAGTTTTAAAGGTTCTGGCTCGGCTGATGAACCACATGAACATTAGTTAATACGACTGCTGGATGGTTATTTTTCCAGCTAATTTGAGCTAAAAAATTAGCTTTCTTTAAGGTTTCTTATGCAACTGAATTTCTGCAGCTTAACAAGTTACCATGAACCAGCTGATCTGCATTTCACTAAGCTCACTATAAAAAAGAAAAGCCACAGAAGGTAATTGAATTACCTTATCCCTCTTCACCATTTTCTAAGCTAATGCAATTGCTTTGCATTTATCACAAGCCAAAAGATGGTTTGCAAAGCTGTTGTAGTTCATCTAATTCTCAGTTACCTGTTAAGCTGCAGTAACCTATCATGTAGCTAAAGTTTTAAGCAGTGTGTGTAACTTCATAATAAGATAGCAGCGGACTGTAAACTGCAGTCATTTATACTGTGCATTTACCTGCTTCTGTTTCCTACTGCGTTGTTCATCCTTTAAGTTAGAACACGCCAGCATTTGCCTTTTTTTGCAAAGCTACTTTTTGTTCCCCTGCAGCAACTGAAAGCATTAGCAGTTTTTAGGGGCAAGATCTCTACTTCCATCTGTCAGTCTTCATAGATGTATTTTAATTGAAATTCAACCCTTATACCATACTGAGGAGAGTCATAAAGAAGCTGGAACTGTGCCAAATCAAAAATATTTTTAATTTGCCTCAGTGTGCATTAACATCATTTTGTAAGTACTCATCTGTGTAGAGCAGTTCATATATATGTACAGTTCACAAGCTTACTCCTTTTTTAAAATCAGGAAGCATTTTTTTAAGTGGCTATTTTGGTAAGTACAATTTATACTTGGCAGAAGGGCACTTTCAATATACTTGTACTCCAATAATACTACTAAAAATACTTTAGGTTTAGATAGCACCTTTCATCAGCACTTCTCAAACTGCAAAAGCACAGGCTTCCTGCTTCCCTGTGGAAACTACCATGCTAATTATATCACCTAGGATCCTACTGCACCATTTCAGCACTTTCTGTCTATGCTGAGGGCTTTGGGCAAAGCTCTGGATCTAACCTTTAGGTATATGAAAAAGACTTCATTTCCTGACTTTCAAGAGTGCCAGAAGGGACTAATCTGCTCCCTGGTAAGTAGATACGCAACTAAAATTTAAATTTCTGGATTTCTCTTGATAATTCTGAATAGGGGCTATATGTTTTAGAAGTTCTCTGGAGACTTGAATAGGTGCATGGATAATTACGGTGACTATCTGTCAATGAAATGAAACTGTATCTAGAGCAGAACAGCTGCTGACAGCTCATGAAGAGCCTTAGAAGCAGTTCAGGACAAATCTATATTACAAAATGCAGCACCCTGAAAGCACAGTTATTTTGTATATAAGATTTACCTGCTGCCATAATACCAGAAATTATTAGGAATCTCTAGTTGAGCAGCTGCTACATTTTTAATTGTGTTTAAAATCTCCTTATCCACTCTAAACATGGATATTAGAAGATCAGCATAAAACTTGGTTTAAACTTCCTTGCCTTATTTTTGCTAAAGCAAACCATTTTGCAGATTTTGTGAAAAACAGTACTGAAAACTCTCTTTGATGCTATGCAGTTTATCTGATGCCACTATGTACATCCACTTAGCTACCAAGTGGAAGGTATTTAACACTGAAGGGCTTTTTTTTTTTTCTCTTCTGTCTCATTTTCTAAGCTGTTTTGTAATAACTTCCACTTAAGTACTTTCCCCTCAACGTTTATTTCCTGTGGGGCATTTTACTTTAAAGAGAATACCGGTACAGTACATAACATTTCCCCCCATTTCTATCCTTCTGCAAGATGCATAAGATTGTAAATACGCTCCACTGATCCTATTTCAAAAAAAACAAAAACAAATTAATAAGCAATTCAGTGCTGACACTTAGGAATTAATAGTCAATATTCTTCATAAAAGATATTTCACTTCCCTTACTAACACTTGACGTGCAATACAGCAAAACCTACCTTGTGCGACTAGGAAATAACATTTTAAAAAAATATTCTGCTGTAAACCAAAGACACGATGGCAACATATATATATTTAAATACAGGTTGACAAAATTTGGGAGCATCTACTGAAATAATTTAATGGCCCCCAAACTAGTTATGCTTAGGTATTTCAAGACTAAGCCTATTAAAATCAACAAGCACAATTTTTGGATATTAAGTCTGTGCAGGTTCACAGCTTGTCTTTTAAAAAATATAAAAGAAAAACTACAATACTCTATGGTTTTTTTTTTGGTCACATATTACTTAACTTCTTAAAAAAAATATTCTGTAAGTTTTCCTGATATGAAAACAAAACAGAAGCATGCATGTATCAAAAGTAATCAACTGTTATTTTAACATAAAATGCCTGAAAATAAATAGATAATTAAGAAAAGCTTATTAATACATAAATAAATGTCCTGCAGCAAAGTATAGTGCTCAGTATGGAAAAATACTTTGGAGATATTTACAAAAACATTTTTTTTTTTTTAAAGAGTCTTTGATACCAAGGCCAAATGAATTTAAAAAGCCTTTGGTTCTTCCCCCTATATAGTTGAAAACTTGTTTTCACATTCTTTTTGGCAAGGTTTACATCTATAGTGCTTCTGGATACAGACACATTTTTCTCAGGAGTTCCTCACTACATTAGCAACCTACCTGAGGAGCCAAATCCGCCGAGCGCAGAGCCAATAGCTGCTCCTAGAGAGCTGCTACTTCCAAAGCCAAGAGAGGTGTTTCCTGGTTGGCCAGGGCCATGGGAAAAGAGGGAACTGCTCTGGGAGTTATTGGTCAAAGAGTTACTGCCATAGAATGAATTGGACTGCAGGCTGCTGTTTGTTTGCTGCTGCTGCTGCTGGGGCTGGGCGCCCAGGGGCCGGAAGAGGCCGTTCGTGGCTCCCGCGAGGTTGTTGGCCGTTCCTCCAGCTGAGGCAGCTGCAGCTGCAAGACACACGGTGGCCGTCATCACGTCTGCTCGCACGCACCCCGGCCCCAAAACGACTGCTCGGCTCTAAATCTTATATTCATGAATCCCTCAAACGAGTAGAAGAGCATATATTAAAGCACTAAAAGGGATTTTGTAATACTACGCAGTCTTAGTTACCCAAGGGAAAAAAAAATGAAGACAAAATATGTCGTGGAATGATCAAGGCTATAGAATAGTTGATGCCATTGAGAGAATTTTCAGTGGAAACATAATATCAAAGCACAGTTCAAAAAGTTCTCTGTTTTCAGAGTTGTGATAGCAGAGAGGCAGATAATATTTGTTAAGTTATCTTCATCTACTAATGGCAAAAGCGAGTTCTGGATAGAGAAAAAAAACATATAGATTAACTTAAAAATCTAATTTTCTGATTAGTGCCAGACCCTATAACTAAAAGAAAAAAAAAATCTTGTTATATCTTGTTCTCCTGTTCTGCCATCTATGCTGTATTTCGCCCTAACCATACTTCCAATGCGAAAATACTTGAGAAATACATGAGAAAATCCCAGCAAGGCTTCAGAGCACTCCACCATCTTCTGCCAGCTGGAGCAACAAAATGATGCTTCCTAAAGGACACCGTTTGGGGACTGATGGGAAGTGCACATACATCCACAGGGAGAAGAATGGGGAAAACATCAATATCTGACAAGCAACAGCATTTGTAGAAACATGCCTCTGTGTGTAGG